GAGATTGAAAGCAATTTTTTTTTAATTTTTGTTCGAAGATCGTTTGAAACCTCAACCACATGTCCCGATTGTATTTTTTATCACTTTAGCTCTAAGTGATGTAACGCAGTTAAATTACATAGTATTATTGGAGAGTACACCTCAGCAGGTTCCACAGGCTAAACTACTAAACTACTAGGCACTTGGCGGTAATGCTATGTAATTCATTTAAGTCTGTTACGTCACTTGCATTGAAAATGATGAAAAGTACGATTGCAACTCCATTGAAATATCGCCGCTGATTACACTTTTACATGCGCGTCTTAAAGTTTCAATATTATACAGAATAATCGGTTAAATCTCAAGTGTTGAATTCGCGTTAATAAACGAATAGAAGCCGAGATTAAATTCTGGGAAATCAAATCAAATGTAAATATAATTAACACAACGTTTCCGAGAGATCTTCACACGCAGGAAACAATTCCGTGAATGTAATAAAATTTTCCGTTGTCTAGGAAGAATAGAGACCAGACGGAAAACTCGATTGTAAGGACAGAAAGATTTCTACAGGAAGCTTCCACTTGATCCTCTTTTCCTCTTTTCAGTTATCTTAACCGAGTTTTACTACGATCGAATGCTCGGACACGCATTTTCAGTCGCGATAACTGACGTATCATTTCTCGTTATCGAATTTTCATCTCCTCATTCGGTTACGCGAACGGAGATTTTTTATTCCTGCATTTCTTTTTATCTCAACCGCGATATTCGAGCGTCTCTGTATTTACCTTAGGAGATTCCAGTATCGCAGAAAGATCTTCACACCCCATTTACCGTTAGAGATTTTTCCGTCGCCTTGACGGCCGGCAATTCTCGCATTATCCCACAATATGATGCAAATCTCTTGCCCATCTCCGCCTATCGTAGCAGAAGTCGCCTGCAGGCAACCACGTACGAAAATGTTCGTCACGAGAGCGGCTCGGTGCGCGACAGATCGACTCTCGCGTAGGGCCCGTACCTGTGCGCGTCTGCGATAAGCCGGTATTGCTTCACGAGACTTCAATGCGCGTACGTGCACACTCGTTTCGCATTGTCGGCCGACGCGCATAGGCAGGCCTTATCTGCTGATTGCAGCTGCACCGCGCGGCGTGGACGGTGATCTAGCCTGGCGGAGCTAATTGAATTTTCTCCCCGGGATCGTCGTGAGCGAAGCCAGAGCCGATGGAAGAAGGACCTTTTACAGTGAGGCCCCTTGTGTTCGCGACAAAAGGCGCGCGTGTTGCACGACGAAATCGCGATAGTACGCGTGGCTGCACGGGACTCTCGTGCTCTCGCCGGCGCGCGCTGCAATCTCGGGACCAAAGTCGCTCTCGCGCGCTCTTCTTACGGACATGCCGCCGTTAGATGAACGACGTTTTTCCATGACTGTCGGTTCTCGACCCCGCCGGGGTCGATGGAAAATATTCGAGACAACGTGCGATGATACGCGATCTACAAGCGAACGCGAACTGACCTTTCGAATTGAAAACTCATGTCTTGCGATTGGAAAAGTGCATCTCGAATTTCCTATCGAAATGACAAACTGACAATATTGAATATTAAATTACATCGTGTGTATAAATTAATATTAAATTAGAATTAGAATTAACCTTTCGACACACTTCTGAAAAACCATATACTTCTGAAAAGCCGGTAACACCGTAAATAGGGTCGTCTTGTGCGATTTTGTAAATTCCACATCTAAAAAAACTGCGAAAAGAAAGGAGTTGACGAAATTCTAGAAAATAAAGTATAACTCTTCCACTTTAATGTTTAATTATGCATTGCGACTATTAAACGATTTTTCGGGAGTGGAAGGAACTCATGGGTTACGCATTTCTCTTCGCTATAGCTCTTCGGATTCACTGGGTCTATCTAATCCATAATTTGAAGGGTTAATTACACAAATATTATTATACAATATAATTTATTATATTATATTTTTATTTAATATAATTACATTGTATATAAATACGATTCTAATAAATATTAATATTAACAAACATTAAATATACATGACGAGTATTAAGTTTTTTTATATTTCTCTAAAAAAGAGAAAAAATAGTCATTCATTGAAACAGCTGAAACGCTGCGCGTCTCCGTTCTAGTATCATCTATGAATCCCGAATCCATGATAGATCATGTGATTAAAAGGAAACCGGAGAAAACTCAACTTGTGACGCGATAGATACATGTGTATATTATGACCTGCTCGGTGTTTCCAGTGAAATTACGATGCAGTGAAGCATTATTTTCGAAAATAACCCTCATTTTCGACACGCCTATACGCCTGAGATTGGCCTCGAATTACACGTGCGACCACCCTGCGCTGCACTTGGCGGCACCGTAAATGCCACCCAAGTATCTAATCGCGCGCTCCTTCCCTCCTCTCCCGCTCTGAAACCTGCATCTTCCCAAATACCTGCGGAGCGGCCGATTCTTTCGAACGACTCTATTACAAGATTACTTCGAAGGATGACGGCTATCGGCAAGTGCAACGGCAGTTGCAACATCTATTTGGAAAATTCAGTCGTGAAACATCGCACAACCGGAAATGGGGGAGGCTCATTCGTACTTCCGGTACGCGAATAGGCACGATTGCATCTATACCGACGCAAATGCAAATATACGCTCCGATCTAGATCGCGCAGTATAATGGCGGCTCGCTCTCTCGCTATATGCGTATTAACGCACTTTCCGCGTATCTACGAATTTCTCAGCGGCAAGTCATTGTTTTTCCTGGCGGGCGTGTTACGATCGCGCGATGTAACGAGTTTATTAAAGGAATCGGAAGGAGAAGCGCGCCGGCACCGCTATTGAGTGAATCGTGCCGACTCCCACGTGCGTCTCTCTCGTTTTTCCCTCGCGAAGACGTAAGCCCTTCTCTCTGCGACGAGAGCTCGACGCCCATGCAGTCGCTCGTCGGACGATCACGTAGGACGCGCCTCTCGCGTTTTATTTTTTTCCTTTTCTTTTCGAATGTGGCAGGTACAGGCGCGTATGTAAAATATCGCCGCGAGGTGGTAGGAGCGAAGATTTGTTGGTCGAGTCAGATAAGCAGTCTGTAGCCCCATGAATGGTCCGATCGTTTGGATATCAGCTAGTCGTCTTTATCGCGGAGTCTCGATTAACTTTCGTGCCATCAGCATGAAAAAAAGCAGCTAATCGATTTTTACAACGCGTTACGCGCTTACACGGAAAAAAAATAGGCTTACAGTGATAGATATTCTCGCTTATGTATGAAAATATCTGTCATTGATTTAAGACTAATTATTTCTGTGTACTATTATAAATATGCTCATTTTTTAGTAAGTGAAAAATTACACAAAAATACATATGAACCCTCCTCTCCTCTCTTGAACCGTGCAATAAAGGAGCAACCCGGATAACACAGTTAGTTTCATATACGTTCTTTCGATGTATATAACACGATTGTAAAACGTTACACACGTTTAAAAAACGTATTTGAAATTAATATGTGCTATCTGGAAATAGAGAGTGAAATATTTTATCTCCCGCGCAGTGATTGAGTATTTTCAGAAATGAATATTTCCTCCGTGAAAATCAATGCGAATAATTCGTTCGGAAATATCAAAAGACTAAAATTTAGATTTTGCGATTTTGTTACTCACTCGTGTCTCCCTCGCGATTACAGGTAAGGAGAGCACAAACTTATCGCAAAGATGTGTCTCAACACTGATGGAAAGAGATTCTTAGGAGGCTCACATTAACGATTCGTATGCTGTAGATGTGAAGTCATTGTCGCGACACTCTTCAGGTCCTCTAGTGACGATCACCTTAACGAGCACACGCTACCGCCATCACGTAATAGCTTCTTATACACGTCGCTTACCTCAGAGTGGAACCCGCAAAGAATCTTGTGCGCGGAATAACTAATAGAAAATAAAATTGCCGGACGTGCTTATCCGTAACGACTGAGGTACCTCTATCAGACTTTTTCCCCACGGTGCGAGACCGAGTTGCGCGATATGCAGTGTGTATTGCGTGTAGCACACCTCTCTTGCCACAATACAACGCGGAACCTGAGTGTGCGCCACGTAACACTGGATCTTAATTTATTTTTGCAATAAAATTACTCTTCCCTCATAACAGCGAACCGTGCTTTCTCCGGCTCTCCAATTTGAATAGTAATCACCGTAAATTATTGATAACATGCAAAATACCTTAAGTTATCAGCAACGATAGTTACTTTCTTCGTATCAAGTTATATCTGTAATTCCGTCCAACGTATGATATAATTCGCAATATATTATTCGATATATTATTCGATAGCTCGGGAAAACGAATATTAAAGTTTCAGAAAAACCCCGAATTTTCCAATTTCTCCGCAGAATCTTTTTCGATTCCTTACTTTCTTTACGGGGAAAAAAAAAATAAATGTGGCAAATTTTGATCGAACACGCGTGAATTTTTCTAAACGGACGTTTCTACGTTTCGGGCGGAAACCGAAGAAATCCGCGGAAAATTGGGAAAGAGCGGTTTCTTTCCGAAATTTTAAAACTATAATTCATACCAATATCGCGATAGCAATAATCTTGAAAACCCCAAAGCGAACATATAAACATCAACATACCAATACCACAATGTTTGACATTTAAAAATGGCGATCTCTCTATTCCGTACAGCGAGCGAGTACTCCACAACAGGAATAACAGCCGTCCGCCTTTCTGTATATCCCAGAAACATTTTACGTTCTCATCGTCGCCGACAAGGAGAGGCATCAAGGGTAGGACTCGTCTCCCTACGAGCGGCTGGCTCCGTGGACATAGGCCTTTCGTGACCTGAGCAGACAATGTCGCCCCCGCAGCTTGTCGGCGTGCGTGCACACACACACACACAGACCCACGCACACAGCGGCAAATATTACACAGGAAGGTCGTTCTCTTTCCTCCACCTCGGCCATCCGTCGGCGCGAGGCTTACTATGTTGGCTTACTCGCGCATTCTCGCCAGTTGTAACGGAGCGCTCGCGGAGCGCACACCGTGGCGTATCCATCGGCGCGCGTTTCAAACAGAAACCTCAAGTCAAACTTCCAACTCTGCCGAACACTCCTCGTTCCGGAGAGTTACGTTTCTCGTCTCTCTGTCCGATCGTTCGTTACACAGTGACTCCCTGGATAACTGCTCCGAGGACCTCTCGTGCGGAATGTGTGGAGAGTTTCGTTCACGAAATGCGCGCCAGAAGTCCCTCCAAATACGCTCCCCCGACGCGATGAGGTGGTGAATCCGTTCGTGTGTTGTGACCATCGGGTAAATCACCCTGAGGCTTGATACGAGGTGCTAGCTTCTGGTTTGAGACAGTGAACTTGGATCGATGCTGCTTGTACATTCACTTTGAATATGACTCCCGCGTGTTGACGCGTGCGCTATTACGAACACCGCGGATCACTCGACTGCGAATCAGTAAAAGTGAGTATATTTCGAGCTTGCGCAGAATTTCATATATGTTAAGTGTTTCGTTCATATACATATACGCATACATGTATCTAGATTCAGACTTGTATCCGATATTTACAACAAAATATCTCACATTGCCTCTTTCACGATGTTAGAAACAAAGATATACGGTTCCCGCATCTCGCGTCATCTCACATATCCTTCTCTGCGTCCGTGATATCATATCGTTGCATCCTTTGGATGCACGTGACCGCAGTCCGCACATCGGTTCACTGATAACGAAGTTCGCTGATAACAAAGTTACGTAGGTTAAAACTGAAATGTAATTTGTGCTTCGGAACTCGGTGAAAAATATCGTCTCTTGAGCTTGCGTCTATACATCAAAAGGTTTATCATAGAAATTGATGGTTTTACTATTTTTTTATTTATTCATATTCATAATTTCTGAAGAATGTATGAAAAAATGTCTATACTGAGAAAAAAATATCTAAGAAATAAAAAAGATTTTTTCGGTGGGTACTAATACATATTTACTGATGCTAATGTAAACGAGGAAAAAAAATTGTTTATATTAACTAGAAAAAGAACCAGATACATGTTGAAGGAAACAGAATTTCTGGTTATAAGTTTTGGTTATAAGAACCATATTTGGGTCTTAAGAACCAGAAATTTTGTTTTCTTCAACCAGAACGCATCTGAGTGCTCCCTTTCTGGTTAATGCAACCAGATTTTTTTCACGCATGTTTTTACTCTGAGTCTTTTCTTAGATGAGAAAATATATATTTTCTTAAATCGTTGCTTTTCATGAAAGCAATCGTTTATTATAAATATATTTAAATAAAAAACTTTAAATTTAAATAAATATGTATTAGCATTGACCGTATAAATATTTGTTTAAATTGTAGATATTTTTTCTCTCGGCGTACATGTAGAACAAGAGAATTATTCCATTGGATTCTTTTTAAAGTATTGCAGTTCGTAGAATACGCATCCGTATTTTTTGCACGTTCGACGTTTTCTGGACATCCGGATTGGACCCTAATATTTCACCAAACACGAGAAGTGTTTTTCCTGCTTTCCACACGATGGACGTATGCACGAAATGTGCAACCGTCTGGTTTCACTCCGGCGACAAATTACACAGGCGTGCTTAAAGTGTACCGTTGCATGCGTCCGGTTTTTCTGTGAGCAGGCTTCCCGCCACTTTCCACGTTTGTGTAACCTAGCAATCACAATCGCTGGACACTACTTATCGAAAGGCCGCCAGACCAATTACGGTTTTTCTACGACCTTGCGAGAGGAAACGCATAAAGAGATTAATTGAAACGCACGTTGCTATGCGGTCCCACGTAGACGCTCCTACGACCGCCGGAAATCTACAAACGAGTGAAACGTAAAATGACAATTTCACTCGTCTTCTTTGCGACGAAAGTAGTAGTCGAAAGTAGTCCTGACGTTGGACTTGACGGTCCTGGCAGCAGGTTGTAAAATTATTATTCCCACCGTGAGCTCCTTACGTCGCGAATTTTTTACGAATCACTGCCCGCGTCGACCTCATTCATTGATTATATCGGACGCACCTGACTCATCTTTCAATATGAATCAACCGTTCGACGATCATACCGTAGATGGAAGTGATACAATTAAAAGTAAATCTACGATGGAAAATCGAAAGTTATCATCGTTATCGTGCCGATCCATTAGAGCGGACAGTCGGTCGAGTTTAACGACAGTTGCAGTTATATACACACATTTGCCAGCTTAATACTTCCGATTAACGTTAAACGACCCATGGATCCTGATTACAGATTAGAACCAGGAGGAATGTTGAAGCACGTGTCGGTCTCGCCGTGGAGAGGGCGATCGGACAGCGTGAGTCTCTCTTCCAGCGGCGGGGCGAGTAGCTGCGGAAGCGGAAGTCCTACCCCTGGTCACACACCACCACCCTCGAGAGCGTCCTCATGCGCTTCCCTAGCACCTCTAACCGCCCTGTCGAGCTTTTCACCGGCCGATAACGCACCCCAACAGGTGAGTACTCGGTGATTATTTTCTCACGCATCGGGAAGATCGTTTTCTCGGATTAATTCCCAATGCGTTCCTAATTTTTGGAGTTGTTCATATAAATGCCACAGAGATTTTTCCGAAAAATTCAAAATCGATTTTTTTATATGATCCTAGACTTCCGCGATGTGGATGATTACTTGATTTGGCTTCCGAGTTAGCGTCGCATTTGTCTCCGATGGTTTGATGGATTTCTCGGGTCGATCTCAGGTAGCACCTCACCTTGAAGAAGCGAACTACGATGTTCACGAAACGTCAGGAAACAAATCCATGAAGGACGCGACGCTAACTCGGAAGCTAAACCAAGTAAACGATTCTTTTATAGTTAAATATAACTCTAATAGTTAAGTATAAGTCTAATTTTTTTTTCTTTTCTTGCGATGGCAGGTTATCGAAAGAAAACGGTCAATATATTATTGAGTCAAATTATAAAAATAGCTAACTATAAAAGTAGCGACCTTGTATCCTTCGCAAAAGTTCCTACGAACTTATCACAAACTATTCGTTATTCCACACGTCAGCATATCGTTTGCGAAGCGACGAATTTATTCGATAAATACGAGATTATTTTGAGGTATTGATGCTCGTGTTTGATGAGCATTCAGCCGATAAACGCGTAATGTGAATAAGAGCGTGGAGGTTAATGCGCTATGTCTGCTGGAGATGGTCAAGAACAACGCGGGAGAGTGTAAAAAGCGATGATGCTACATTTAATGAAGCAAACGAGGAGAACAAAACGTCATTCGTGCGCGTGTGGCACCGAGTGTGTGACGTAAAGCGGTTTAGCGAAAACGAGAGCAACACAATTCCCGTACATTTATTAACAGCTGGACCACGTATGCGCCAGCAATGACAACGTTGATGAATTCGTCAGCTAGTAGCATACTTGATCCACAATTATTTCTGTTGTCTAATCTGCTATTACTCTTAATTCGCAGTACATCGCGTCTACCCTTGAAACACAGTCGTGAAGTAATGATCACGCAAAACGATAAGTCGATAGTGATGACAATGAAATCTTTCCTTATAGCTATAGAATATTAGAATAGTGAATTTTTTTTAAATTATAATTTAGAGGGAAAGCACCAAAACCGACATACAGAGAAACTGAGTCCCAAATCCGATATACTAATGATATATAACTATAGAAAATTATCAAAAAAATAAAATACATAACAAAAATTATTACATTATTTTATATATTTATTATATATCCTTACATGTTATCTTTGACCTTAGATATTTTTTTTATGAAAAGAGATTTCCCGACTTTTTCGTTCCGACTAAATCCATGTTCTGTCCGACATAGTCCAATACTTTATAGCCGAGAAATATAGGTAAGTCAACTTACCATACCCATGTCAGTTTTGGTGCTTTCCTTCTATTATTTTCAAAGCTGCAAATAAGATAAATATTAAATATAAAATAAATAAAGCTGTAGCCGCGTGTGAAGAGGAAGGAACGCTGAATATTTGGAACGTTTGTTACCCTTGTGGTCAGAGTCAGTTTCCAATGCGAGCCGCATAATTTCTCACAGCTTCTTAAGTCGATCCTATAGTATAACTGCACGCCGTACGGTTTCGCGTCCTTTTTTGCGCGAACAGATACATATACGTAGCTCTCTTGAGGGCTTTCGTCCCAGGAAGACGTTCAGTTAGGGCCTGAATATTTTTCCTCGCCATCTGCACAAACCGTGGGGGGACACGTGTCTTTGTCGCCATTCGAAATTTCGTCTCCTCTGCAGGAGCATCGAGCACCCTCGATCGAATGATCATCCTAAAATAACGATCTCCGAGTAAGTCGAGGAGGAGCTCACGTTAAGGTATATAATATTTTTCGCGGATACTTTTTCAGTGGTAAAACAATAACAGACGATCGTGAGCGGCGAAACGCGCGCGTTTTCTAGAGCGACTGTGTTTTTGCAATTTCACACGGCTGATTACGATCAGGGTCGGTGCATTTAAAAATATAACCGCGCTCAAACGCAAACGTCACTATCCCCGTTTCCACTTGAGCTCTAGATATTACGCGCGCGATTCTCCTCGATGCGCACATGGCGAAGACCTTTCATTGTATTTGCTCTTGTCTGACCTGTTTCGCACGCGGGTTGCAAAGGTTGTCGCAAAACGTACAAGTGGCTTCCGTTAGTTCGTTCGCGATACCGGCCACGCGTATCACACGTGATAAATATTTCCATAATTAAGAGGGAATGAGGAAAAAAACATTAGTATTCATTCAACACTCATTCTCATGGCATAAGCAAGAACATGTAATCTTATGTGGAGATCAAACTTACTCTTCTATGAAGAAATCCTACATAATTCCACAAAAAATATCATATTCTTATTATTCAAGAATAATTTTTAGGAATTGAGAGGAAACAAATATTGGATAGAAAGAAGGATATCCTCAAACTGATGCAATTTTTAGTTTGAAGATATCGTTCTTACTAATATTTTTCCTTTCAATTCATGAAAATTATTCTTGAATAACACGAGTATATTTTATTTATATATTTTTTTTTCTATCATTTTTATACATTTCTTCCTTATATATGAAAATATATGTCTTAAATCGATACTAATTTTTTTCCCAAGTAGGCAGTACGAATGTTTAATTAACACATTGCGGACCAGACATTTTATTGCTAACCGTATCCAGTAGCCGGGTATGTTTTCGCCTCTAACGACGCAATATGAAATACGAGATATCTCGTCATCCGGCCTCTAACGACGAAATAGGAAAGACGAGATATCTCGTCATCCGTCCGCAATGCGTTAATATCTGCAATTACCGTAACTGTAACTCAATCGTGCGCACAACAACGTAATAATTCTATTACATTAATCCGTTTGAAATTTTTCCCTGTGAAGATAGGAATCGATTTTTCCTTATCAAGCAATAATTTCACATTGTACCTCGTACGATCGCGGGATGAAATTTTAACTATGAGATATTCGTGCCACGGTAAATCCCGAAAGCGTCCTCATCGTTACAAGAAGTATCATCTTTTTATCGCGAGATGTAGCGGAGAGTAGGGACGGACCTCCCTTTTTCGAAGCACGAGATACGCGTGTCCCGCAGTTTTTGTCGACGGGGCCATGGTGATTCTCTGTGAGAACCCCGCATACCGAGATGTCACACATTGCAACCGAGTTCACAATGCGTAGTGAAAAACTAAACGAGCGACGGTAACCATGGTGGATCCACTTAATCGCATTCGCTGCTGCTCTGCGTTGGTTCTTTATTGCCGGCTCACGATTAGGCGGTGCGTTTTCAGAGAGGAACCTTGGAACAATTGTCGGCGCTCTCGCTCACAAATTGTATATTTTTCGCAATTAACGCGCGCTGAAACACTAGACACGTGGGAGATGCGGCGTCGTTTGATATTCGCCAATTTCCGATCTTCTCATTTTTCGCGGTTTTTTCTGCAGACCGGCGGTCTTTTTTTCCCTATTTTCGGTATCAGCAAATATCAATGTGCGGCGTTAATGAAGCGACTGAATCCTACATCGAATAAATTAGCTATACGTTTTACGCACACAGGATCGAGTTCCGTGTTTCGTCACGCCTTTGATTCCGCACTTGTCCCGGCTCTTGTAATATCCGACGCGGTAGGCCGTGTTTCCGGCCGTCTCGTGATTCCACATCGCCTTGTCGAGCCGATTCCGTTGGACTATATTTCGATGAACTCTGTATTCCATCATCTCGGTCAAAATCAAGCTTCCGTCATTATTACTTATTGCTACGAGACGGAAGTATACTTATATAAAACTTCATTTTATTTTCATCCGTGTCGCTTGATCGACTTTCCTCGGCAAATGAGTCGCGCTCACGCCGCGAGGACGATAATCGGAAGTGACGAAATCTTATAATCTCTGTGTGTATTTCGTAAAACGTCATTGTCCCGCAGTTCCCTCGCGGAGTACAAGAGTTTCTCGCATCGGTGGCTCGAGGAAGGTCAGATTCACGACGTAGCGGATCTCTCTCGCTTCTGCCGAGATGTTCGCAATCCAAGGTCGCGTGGCTGCGAGATCACTGCGTGTCATCGACATACCTTCGTGCTTACCTTTTTGTATTCGATACGCAGACATAAATGTATCCGCGTTGACAACTCGTTCGGAAAATATTTCTAACCGAAGAAAAATCTTGAAATTGAAATCCGTCTACTTGCGAAAGTGTCAGTCAACTTTGTCCGACTGATGTCTGTTTCCGCCGTAGTGGTTTAAATTTAATCGACGATTAACTCAACGGAATTGACTAATCGCAGTTGGCCAATTAGCTGAACCGATCAATGTAACCGGTCAAATTCCGTTCAGTTAATCGTCGATGAGGTTTGAACCGTGATGATAGAAACGGGCATGAATCGTATGAGATACTCGCGGCGGCAATATCTTTTTCTCGATTTTCTTCTCTTACGGCTGTACACTCTGATTAACATTGCACCTGGTCGCGCCGTCCTTCGTGTTCAGAGACCGGCAATTACACAGATATTTGCCGGGGAATCATTGGCCATTATTCCGCAGTTCGCAATCAAGTTAATGCCGTTCGCATGGCTATATGCACGTACGTGTGAGAATCGGGAGATCCATTTGGCGCGCCGTTTCCGCGAATCCGCCGGATCCACGACAAACATTGTCTTTTCTCTTCCTGCTCCGATTCCGCTTGTTCACGGTGGTACGGGAGGGGGAGGACGAGGAACGAGCATGATAAATGGTATGTTGCTTTAATTATTACATGCCGCCTCGCCCGCATGATGGCAAAACGGCGAGAGGGGAAGAAGCGCCGGGAAAGAGAAACGGAAAAAAGAGTAGACAACGAAGCGCTATCCTCGTCGAGACTCTTTACCGTGGCAAAGGCCCCGTATGATGACGAACGACCGGTCGCAATGGCCTATGATCAGGATACAACTCAAGCAGGGGTCCTTGTCCAGACCCAAGGATATCTTTCTTATAACGCGGAACGAA